ACACCCGAGTATTTGCTCCACCGTAAACTTCATTACCGACCGCTTCCTCTGGCACAATATGCTTTCAGACATTAGAAATTGGGCTAAACATTGTCTTAGTTGCCAAACCAGTAAGTTCATTGTCACACAGTCACTACCCCAAGTACATTTTCATTCCCTGGCTCACATTTGGACACGTTCACGTGAATATTGTTGGCCCTTTACCTCCATCCAACGGTTTCACTCATCTTTTAACATGTGTTGACCGTTTTACCCGTTGGCCACAAGCTGTTCCTTTACGTGATACATCTACCGAATCTGTTTCCCGTGCTTTTGTCGAATCTTGATCTCTCTGTTTGGTGTTTCATCCACCATCACTACCGACAGAGGGACTCAGTTCAGTACCACACTGTTCCGTGATCTGAGTCGTTTATTAGGCTTCACTCACATACGAACAACTGCGTACCATCCCGCTGCCAGTGTCCTCGTCGAGCGCTTTCATCGGCAATTAAAAGCTGCCATCATGACTAGTTCATCCGACTCACACTGGTCCGAGCGTCTACCTGGATCCTCCTTGGCATACGCAATACAATCAAAGAGGACATTGGTTGCTGGCCTGCAGAACTCGTGCTTGGCACGACCTTCTGACTACCTGGTGAGATGGTACTGGATTCTCGCACCACCGGCGAACTAGACCCCTTCTCGTAAACTGAACGCCTCAAACAGCATTTTCGATCCATCGGACCAATGTCTACGCGGCCTAACCTACGTAAACAGCAAATCCACCCCGATTTGCACTAGCGTGCGTTTGTTTTCATCCGCGTCGACGCCGTCCGAAGACCATTAACCTTGCCCTATGAAGGCCCGTACCAGGTCTTATCACGGAAACCCAAGTATTTCGTGTTGAATAAGAATGAATCAAAAGGATCCGTGAGCATCGACCGACTCAAACCAGCTTACGTTGAACCTACAGTCAATAGTACAGACCCCATTTCCTCCTCTCAGAATACCCGCGCCCCTGACTCATTTCTCCCTACCCAACGACACACTGACGTCAGTACACCGAATGCTCTGCGCCCTCCGACTACACGCAACTCCACACACACACACACGTTCGGGTCGTGTTGTTTCCCTTCCACATATGCTTCCTCAGTACGTCCCGTAGGCACCTTGTCGAGCGTTTCCTTAGTGCACGCTCTAGGGGTGGAGTACTGTAGCGATTGTAAATAATTTGCTTATTTTTCATCTTCACGCTTACTATTTCACTGCAGTTGTTGTACAGCTTTGTTTTAATTAACCATATATACATGCGCTTGGTTTCGAGCTCGTCTTCCGTGCTTCTCCCTTGGTTGCCACTGGATCGTTGTGATTGTGCGCATTGCTGCCTGCTTGATTCACGATCGGAATCTACGTACAATGAACAATGATTTATAACGGGTAACAA